CATTGGAAGAGAAGACCTTTGAAAACCAAATTCGACTATATACCATAAATCGAGATTCAATGAAAGCAAGAAAACTCTCATTCGAGTTTTCTAATAAGTGTAGTCCATCCCATTGAAAAAGGGAGGATGAATGAGAGAGTGACCCTCTTGAAAGCCGAAAAGAGCCATTTCTATTTGGGTGTTAAACCAAATTAGAAAACGATACTTTGATACTAATTGTTAGGAAAGCAGTCGGCACTAAGAGGAGGGGGGGGGGGGGTGGGTGAATTAGTGCAGTAGAAAAATCATGTCTTCAAAAACTTTCGTACTATAAAATCTATTTACGTTGATAATGATTTTGGAAACTTAACTTAAAAGCATATGGAAGCGTAGTGACTAAGTAATTTGCAGTATGTAAATGGCAACAATAGAAATGCAAACCAAATTTTAGAGTGGTTCGGTCAACGTGACCTACATCCACTTTTGGCTTCCTCCTCCGACGAGGTCACCGGCGTCCACTAGAGGTCTTCCTTCAATAGACAAAGACCAACCACCTTTTACACCCCTCTTCTCCTTTTCACGGGTTTAGGAGACAACCCTTACAAGCACTCACACTCCTCTTATAGAATTCTAAACTTAGAGTGGAGGAGGAAATTTATAAAGAGATTGTAATAGTATTTTCTCACTTTTGAATACTCAGTGCTTGTGTATTTTAACCAGGGATGAGAAGGGTATTTATAGGCTTCAAGTTGATTTAAACTTGGAGCCTAAAAACATCTCAACCCGGGTTTCCCGGGCACGGGCGGTACCACCGCCTGCGCTGAGTAGTACCACTACTAGTGTCAGTCTGACACTGACACTATATTGGGCGGTACCACTGCCTGGGGTGCTATGCTGGGTGGTACCATCGCCCAGACTAGCGGTACCATCACCTGGCACCTTGCTAGGGGTGGTACAATCGCTCAGACTGGTGGTACCACCACCTGACACAGTCTTGAAGATTGTGCCATGATGGTGAGACTTCTTAGGGCACTGTTTGTACCTTTTATTGGGCCCAACATAGTCCTTACATGGGCCTAGCTGGCCCCTAATTGGATTGACCCAAATCCAAACCCAATTATGTACTAACTACAAAATCTAAGATATAATCTGAGCTAAACAAGTCTATAAGTCTATTCTTCCGATGAGCTTTCATCGATCTTCCGGCGAACTTCCGACGATCCCTCGGTAATGTTCCGACAGACTCCTAGGAAGCTCTTAGACTTTACGACGATCTTCTTGGCGAGTTCCGATGAGCTTCTCTGGCAAGCTCTCGGTTGGTTCCGCCAGAACTTTCGATGAATGTTTAGACTTCTGATGAACTTTCAAACTCTCAACGAAGTCACATTCTTGACTCCAGGACTTTATTTTGCTTCATGCCTTGCTATCGTAGTTAATCCTGCATATGTAAAAACATACTTCGATCTAGATAATTAATACTAAGCATTAATCATGTTGTCCGGCATGTCATTGGTCCCTCGACGCTTCGTCCTCTCTTATGGCCTATTACCCAATTGGTCTATTGACTCCGTAACTCTGATATCCTTGGCGCAATATCCGCTCTTCTTGGCCCGATGGCCGAATCTATGGCCTAAAGACTTCTATCGATATGTTGACCGATCCTTCGGCTCGACGTCCAATCTTCTGACATGTTTTCCTTCGGCACAACATGATTCTTCCTGCTTTAATTGTCTCATCCTGATCGAAGCATCCTGCATCACTCAAAATGCAGATTAAATCATAAATACTTATCAACTGGTTTCCTCATCAAAATACGAGATTCAACAATTTTTAAGCGAAGACTTTGCATGATGTTCATCAAATTTGATACTCATGTAGGTTAGTGATGCCATTTATAGGTTTGGATGATTGATCATTCAGCCACGTATCACCCCACGATGAGTATATGTCTCATGATCTAATCACCATATGTTAGCCACATGTGATCCTCATATTCTTTGACAATCGGCCTGTTAGTTCGTCCATTATATATCATGTGATGGTATTGTATTCGACATATCACTCTTCACTTATCGATATTAATACTATATGGGCATGAGATAACTTACCCATTTGTCTACTTAGTAATATAATCTAATATTAATACTATGTCAGAACTTATAGGAAAATCTCTTCCTAGCAATTGCCCATGGTATTTATTTCTAAATTTTAATTTTACCCTCATGGTTCAACATTGGCATCCGGTGGTTCTTCAGCGAGGCGAGCTTTTTTGTCGGCGGTAAAACGTTCCTACGATATTGGCCCTCCTTCTAGCACCAAAATATTCTACGAACCTCGAGCCATGACTACATGGCCGACATGGCTTGGTCCAACTGACGACATTCAGGATCGTCGTGAGGTCGAAGATCTCAGTCGGTCGGGTCGAGATTGGACTTGGTGGTGATGTGCTTCTCCCTCGAACTCGTTTGCCATTGCTACACCTAGATTCTTGCGCATAGGCATAGGTCGGGATGGGGATGATCTCGACTTGAGCCCTCCGAAGCTTGAGTCAGTATTCTACTAATGTTCTCATGCCTCCCGTTAGATGTTGGCGAGGGGTTTTTATTGTGACTCTCGGGGGGTCGGTTGTACAGTCAAACCCGGTGAGCGGCTAATGTACCTTCGAGTGTTCGCTGTCTGGGATACGTGGGACGGCACCATGCGACGCTGTCCCAAGTTTCCTGGGACAGTCCTTGTTTCGATGGGACCGGTTGGCGCGGCACCAAACGACGTGGGGAGATGACCGTTGTATCCCGAATTATCGACGACACATTTATCGTGGCTCTACCAATCCTTGTTTCGGTGGGACTGGTTGGCACGACACCGAACGGCGCAGGGAGATGACCATTGCATTTCGGATTATCGACAATATATCTGTCATGGCTCTATCTCCCTCCTGAGGTCTTGTGCTCGGGCAGATGTGGTGAGGGTTAGGTCCCCGTAGGATGATCCATAATGTGTCCTGTCACAACTTATTAAAAAATAAAAAAATAAAAAATAATTTTCCTTATTGATTAGCAAACATAAGCCTTCTTCTCAATGCTTTGTTATATGATATTGCATGCATCCCCATTGTTGCCATTTGCCATTATCCTTTACGCTCATTGTGTGCTGACGGTCATGGGTATGCTTCAAGCTCATCGTTAACTATCATCTCTTCTTCCTCCACCCTCCTTCCCCTCCATCTTCTTTCTTTTTTCTTCTCTTCCTCCGCATCGTCTGTTCCTCATCTTCTCTCTCTCGTTTTTCTTAGTCTTTGAAACACTTAATACATGCTGATGAATCTTTTGTTGATGATGCATAACAATTTCAATATCTAAAATGACATTCTTTCAACAAATGATAAAAAAATAAGTTATAAATGAAGTTATATCTCTCACCCTATGGAGACACATTCTTTCTAATAATGAATTAAAATATTATTTAATAATCATATTTGACAATCTACTAATATCCCAATTGAATCACCATATAATTATTTATTTGTTTATCCTTGGGGCACATGCACTCGTGCATGCAATCAATGAGACATTCAAATGTGCCAAAACTGTTAACATATATTATACGGAGGATGACATGAAAGATTAAGTCTAATGAGAATTCTATACTTTGATAGGCCTGTAGCTCCTTACATAAAGCATGTGCAACTTGGATTGCTGACTAGGCATAGCATACACATGAGACAAATGATATCAAACTCGGTCTTAATTAAGGATTAAAATTAAGAATTTGTTATATCTCTAAAAAATCATCAAAATCCACCACATCACATCAAGTAAAGTCCATTATATTTGTTTTTGTTGGATTCAAAGATACTGAATCTTTGAAAGATAGTGAGCTCACTAGACCTAAAATTGATTTGAACTCAAGTTGAAATAACCTAATTTCAAACTGACTTGGGTTCAAGTCAAATCGATGTAAATTTCATGAACCAACTTGAATCGATGTGGAATCATCGAAAACCAATCTAGAGTTAATCAAAACCGAGTTAAGCAAATATGAACCGACTCGAATCATTTCGCCCTAAATATTATAATTTAATCAGATTTTTTAAAAAAATACCTAAATATTTTTTTCAAACCAACTAATATAATATATTACATTAATATGATATACTAATTTTTACGTCATGATATAAAATATTAAAACATTTATTATTCAACTATAGTACGGATCGATTCGAAACTTAAGCTAAGATAAAAAAAAATTGAGAAAGCTCCATTCCTTCTTGAATCAGGAAATTTATTTCATATTAAGAATATAAAATAAATAATGATTAATGAGATGTATCCGTATCAAGGTATACAAAATATTAGAAAATAAATAATAACGGTTGAGGTGTCATATTTGAAATTTCAAAACTAGGAAAAATAAAAAGATAATTACATGATAAATCAAAAGGAAAAGTTTCTAAGGTGATTGCGCGAGAAAATATCTTTTTTGATTTTTTTTCTCGAATGGTATCTATTTATTGAAATTCATAAACCATCACTTCCTATTTTTAATGTTTCAAAAATATTCTTTAAAAAGTTACCATTATTTCTTACCCAAATCTAAAATTTGGATTGATTTTTATTTGCAAAACACTATAAATAAAAAAAAATACTATATAGTATTTTATTTTAAAAATATTATATGATATTTTTAAAATAAACAATATTATATAATATTTTTTAGCTAGTTTTATAGTATTTTTATTCATAAAAATACTATAAATATTTTTAAAACGCTAAACAGTTTTTGGGGATGAAAAAATTCTCCCGAAAAAACACATTACAGCTTTGGGGATTATTTTTTAAAAAAGTTTTTTAAAAGAAAAGATCACTGATGGGAAATTACGAAAGACGGTAAGTCCGATTGGAGAAGGATATTTTCTCGGTAAATCGCTAAAAAATAAAGAAAGAAAAAAGAGGGGCGGTCTGATTCAACCAAAAGCCAATAGACCTAAAAGCCACGCCACAACGGCATATACTGTGTCCATAAGCACCGCACCACCACCTCCAAGCCACCTTTTCTCACCGCCACGAAGCCTTCCCACACCGCAGCCCCATCACCCCACATCGCCCCCCGCCTCTCTCTCTCTCTCTCTCTCTCTCTCTCTCTCTCTATTCCCTTCCTCTTTCTCCTACCTTTTCATCTCTCTCTCTCTCTCTCTCTCTCTCTCTCGAATCGCTCGATCAATCTCAATCCCTCCTTCCCCTTGTCGTCTTTCCAATCCCTTCTTCGCAGGCGATCGATAAATCGCAGAGGCATCTTGAAGTCGTGTAGATCTCCGCCGGATTCAATCGATTATATCCAACCTTGATTCTATAATACCCTAACCCTTCGATCTTTGATGTTCCCGCCGGAACCCTGATCGCCGCCGCCGCCTCGGCCAAGGGCGAGGGAGGTGTCCCTTCTTGTATGGAAACACGCAGCCGGAAGCGGGCGGAGGCCTCCTCGTCGGCGCCCTCTTCTCAGCCCCCCGCGGCCCGTCGCCCGTCCAAGCGCTCCCGCACCAACCCGCCGCCTCCCTCGACCATCTTGACCCGCTCTCGTCGCTCCCGAAACTCCTCGCCGCCGCTTCTTCCTCCGCCACCCTCCGGCCCTATGGATTCCTCTGCCGGCGACTCCTCTGGCCGTCGCCGTGGCTCTGGCAAAAACCACCACCCTCCTGCGGAGCGTGATAGGGATAGGGATGCCTCGGATAAGGGGAAGGAGAGGGAGCCGGAAGCTTCCCGGTCCAGGGACAGGGACAGGGCCAGGGATCGGGATGCAGGGAGGATCTTGGGATTGAACTTTGATGGTGGGGGAGCTGACGATGATAATGATAGCGAGGGCGGCGCTAGTGCTCTCCACCAGAATCTCACTTCGACTAGCAGTGCACTTCAAGGGCTTCTCAGGAAATTAGGCGCAGGGCTCGATGATCTGCTGCCATCGTCGGCCTTGTTGGCCTCCTCTTCTTCTCAGCAGAGCTCACGGCTGAAGAAGATTTTGACGGGGCTGAGGGCTGATGGAGAGGAAGGGCGGCAGGTGGAGGCCCTGACCCAGCTTTGTGAGATGCTGTCAATTGGGACTGAGGATTCGCTTGGTTCATTCTCGGTGGACTCCTTCGTGCCCGTGCTCGTGGGTCTACTCAACCATGAGAGCAACCCTGACATTATGCTGCTTGCTGCAAGGGCTCTCACCCACCTCTGTGACGTCTTGCCATCATCATGCTCTGCTGTGGTGCATTATGGTGCTGTGCCATGTTTTTGTGCCCGTCTCCTCACAATTGAGTACATGGACTTAGCAGAACAGGTGCGCCGAATTCTTTTATGTTGTAATCATCTCAGCATTTTGTTTGTATATATCGATATAAAAAGCACCATCGTGAACAAAAATATAACACTGGGTTGCCTAATTTCCATTTATTTGTGGCCTGAAAGCAATCATATTTTAATAACAACACTTGCATCACTAGTGTATGTACCAGTCTGCCAACATGTCGATTCTGTGGTATGAAAAGCAAATTTGTTCAGATTATAGTTTTATATTCTGATCCTGGACCTTCAGAATGTGACCTTATCCAAATCACTTACTGTGAACGCATCATATGCTTTCATTCTTAAGTGTAATTTGGGTTCATTCGTTGTCAAAATAAAAAAAGGGTATGAAGGTGAAAGTAATTGTGATACTTGGACACTGGCTAGTAAAGGAAATATGTTTTGATTTTCATGAAATCAAGATGATCTTTGTGTGGTAAATTTTTTTCCCTCCAAGAAGCCTAGAAGTGCAACTAATATATGCGACTATGTCTCTTCCGTGGAATGATTGCAAGTTTTACTTGGCTTATTACTTATTGGTTGTTCCTAGAACCTAGTTAATCTACCATTCTCTTGAATCACTTATACTTTTTTCAGTCTCTGCAAGCACTGAAGAAGATATCACAAGAACACCCGACTGCATGTTTGCGTGCCGGCGCACTTATGGCAGTTCTGTCTTACCTTGATTTCTTCTCCACAGGAGTTCAGGTAATGTGTTTGTATAATTATAAAAATTTTATATTGGAGATAGTGTATAGGTGTTTGTTGAATGTTAATTCTAAGTCTGTTCATTGCTTATTATCTTGTCATGATTGGTCTCTCATGTTATCATCATTTGGCCACTTTATTTCTTCTTCAGAGAGTAGCATTATCGACTGCAGCAAATATGTGCAAGAAACTTCCATCAGATGCAGCTGACTTTGCGATGGAAGCAGTTCCACTGCTGATCAATCTTCTTAATTATCATGATTCAAAGGTTATTCTGTTCTTTGCATTTAACATGCTAAGCCTCTTTTTTTGAGTCATTGACTGTAGGATTATGAATTTGTGTTATGGGTTTATATAAGCTAAGATAGTTTTCATGTTCATCTTTTGATTACTGCTGGCTACAACGACAGGTGCTGGAACATGCTTCTGTCTGCTTGACACGAATTGCAGAAGCATTTGCCTCATCTCCTGAGAAACTGGATGAGTTATGTAAACATGGATTAGTTGCACAAGCTGCTGGGCTAATATCTCTTAGTAATTCAGGAGGACAAGCCTCTCTAAGTACATCGACATACACGGTACGCATACATGCAATTGTAATAATTTATTATGGAGGCCCACCAGTATTGACTAAAAAATTATTTCAGGGTTTAATCCGACTCTTGTCAACATGTGCAAGTGGATCCCCACTAGCAGCTAAAACTCTTCTACTTTTAGGAATCAGTGGCACTCTTAAAGACATTCTCTCTGGTTCTGGGCTTGTTGCTGGTGCTTCTGTTTCACCTGCCTTGACAAGGCCACCTGAGCAGGTACCTTACTTTTTATGTGGTTTCATCCAGTGCTAAAGTCACTGTATTCTTTAATAGTGACTTTTGTTGACAAACTGTTGTGCCTATGAGTTGCTGTATGTTACATGTCCAACAAGGTGATCTTAAATTGCTGGGATACATAATAGCCATCATAAGCTTCAAATCATTGAATTCTCAGAACCAAATTTGATCACACTTTTAAGGCTGCTCCGGCTCAGGTGCAAATGCACTGAGTGTAACATGGATCATAGAGCATGCACAGTTTTTGTTTAACTATAGGATTTAGGTATTACAACTTGGAAAGAGTGCTAATCAAGATGTTTTCAACATATAGTTCTAAATAAAACATATGTTTAAAAAAAATCTAAAATATTATATGTTTATTTACTTTAATTTTTATTTTTTAATTATTTATTTAAAATTGTTTCAAGCTAAAAATAGGTTGAAGTTATTTCAAGGTTTGTTGAAATAATTTTCATTTTTCTCCCTTTTTTTTTTCTTTTTTGTTATCCTCATCTTTTCTTTCCTTTATTCTTACCATTGAGATGGGCTTTCATGAGATATTTAAGGATACCCAAAAGGATTCAATCCCCATGAATTTGGAACCCTTGACTCATTAGTCTCAAATCCCATGAGTTGCACGGTGTGAGTTTTGAGGGCATTTCTTCGTCTCTCTGTCTCCTCTCTTTTTCTCTCTCTCTCTGATAGTAGTAAAGCACAGCGGACAAGTGGATGCAGATGGTTGGTGGCATAATTTTCTTCCTCATCCCCTCTTCCTCTGGCAGCAGAGGCATGTCGACAGGCAGCTGATTGCTTCTTCTTCTCTCTTATTTTTCTTCCTTTCTAACAATGGCTCTTATTCTTCTAGCCAGCTACATATTGGCCTGAATTGGCTAAGTCTGGGCAATTTAGAATGTGTCCAGTCAAGTTTTGGTCAATGTCGGCTAAGGTCATAAAATATTGGTTCAGTCAAACTTGTATTTCATACCATTGCAGGTTTCTCTTTATGCAAATCCGGCAGGCTAAAGTGCCAAGTCTGAGCAGCATAATCTGAAACCAAACTTTTAATTGATTCATTAAATTTTAGTGTGAATCAAATTATTGTCCCAAGATTCAGTTGTGAGAAGCGTCACTGAACTTTATGGCTGTGCAGTGAAATTGGTAAAGCCTTGTTGGCTGGTTAGTATCATGTGATTGTTATAGTGGAAGCAATTTGATCTAACCCTATGACCTAAATTTTAAATTTAGGTGTTTTGGGTTATTTTTCATGCTTTCTATGCATTTCTATGTTAACGCTGTATTTGGAGTCTCATGGATAGTGTTTCAGAGTCTCTATTGCAAAACTATTGACCAATCTGATTCTGCCAAAACTTATGTTCTTTGTAGTTCAAGCTGGCTGCTTGTCTTCTAAGATTGACTAATGACTAGCTGGCTAATCGAATGTGGAGTGGTATTAGCCCTTTTTTATCTGTAATACAAGTCACATGATAGGACTCCTCAATGACAGGTGTTTGGTTTAATATGTGTTCTCCCAGCTTCCTATATTGTTCATTAATGGACTTGTATTTTTACAAAATGTGTTCGTCTAATTTTTATTGTATACCTAAGCATTCATGATTTTCATGTCCATGAAAATATTTTGATTCCTGCTTGCTTGCTGATCTGATGATGCTAGCAAATGGAAGTTGATAGTGCAATAAGTAAATTGGTTGCATACTTTTATCTTTTAATGTCTTTTAAAGATTTTTGTATTACAATTCTCTCAGCACATGCATGAAATGTGTAGAAATGCTTGTACAGGGAATAAATTTAGTGAGTTCAATGTTCTATTTACATTCATGTAGAAACTAGAAAGATCATCATTAGATTTATTCAGTATCTAATTTGTGTTGCATTCTACCATTTAGGTTTATGAGATTGTGAACCTTGTGGATGAGCTTCTTCCTCCCTTGCCTCAAGGAACTATTTCTACACCAATATTCTACAATATTACTGTGAAAGGATCATCTATAAAGAAATCCACAGGCATCACTCCTGGTAAACCAGTTGAGCCTGGTTTAGCAACAAATGATGTTTCAGCCCGTGAAAAGTTACTGCAAGAACAACCTGAACTTCTGCAACAGTTTGGAACAGACTTGCTCCCTGTTCTAACACAGGTTTGGATACTGGTGTTTGGACTTTTGCTCTTGTAAGTACTTTTGCTGCCCAAATGTTGACCCAAGCATCTTGTCACGTAGGTGTATGCTTCTAGTGTAAATGGTTCAGTCCGCCACAAGTGTTTGGCTATTATCGGAAAGTTGATGTATTTCAGCTCAGCTGATATGATTCAATCTTTACTTAGTGCCACAAACATATCCAGGTGTTGATTTCCGTGTTCTGTACTCTGTTCAGGTCATTTTCAGAGGTAAGCTTCTGACTGCCATAATTTAGTCTTTGCTGATTCTTTGCTCCATGTTTGCAGCTTCTTATCAGGCATTTTGGCATGGAAAGATCCACAAGTCTTGATACCTGCTCTTCAGATAGCAGAGGTTCTGATGGAAAAGCTTCCAGGTACATTTTCCAAGATATTTGTGAGAGAAGGGGTTGTCCATGCAGTGGATGCTTTGATATGCCCAGATACCTCAAGTTCCATTCCTTCTCAAACATCCATCTCTGAGAAGGATGGTGATTCTGCACCTGTAATTTCTTCACGTTCTCGGCGTTATCGGCGACGTAGTGGTGGCTTGAATACAGAAACTGGGTCAGTGGATGAATCAAAGCGTTCACGATCAGTTGTCGGCTCACCTCCTAATTTATTTGAAATCCCACCTCCAAGTTCTAGTCTTCGTGCTTCTGTCAGTGCTTGTGCCAAGTCTTTCAAAGATAAATTTTTTCCTGCATATCCTGGTGCAACTGAAGTTGGAGTTACAGATGATCTTCTTCGTTTGAAAAATCTTTGCACAAAATTAAATTCCAGTGTTGAGACTGTAAGGACAAAAGGCAAAGGCAAATCTAAAGCCTCCTTAGTTTCTTCCTTTGATATATCATCTAGCATCGAGGAAGAATTAGATGGAGCAATATCAGAGATGTTGGCTGAACTTAGCAAAGGCGACGTGTCCACTTTTGAGTTTATTGGAAGTGGAGTCGTTCTGGCACTTCTTAGTTATTTGTCTTGTGGAACATTTGGAAAGGAGAAAATTTCTGAAGCTAACTTGCCAAAGCTTCGAAAACAAGCACTGAGGAGGTACAGGTCATTTATCGCAACTGCTCTTCCAGATGAACCAAAGGGAGGACACACAACTCCCATGACTGTGTTGGTTCAAAAGCTTCAAAATGCTTTAACTTCGTTGGAACGTTTTCCAGTTGTCCTTAGCCATTTGTCTAGATCTACCAGTGGAAGTGCACGTCTGTCATCAGGTCTAAGTGCCTTGTCTCAGCATTTTAAGTTGCGTTTATGTCGAGCACCGGGTGAGAAATCTCTTCGTGATTACTCATCAAATATTGTACTTATCGAACCACTGGCAAGTCTAGCAGTTGTCGAAGAGTTCCTTTGGCCAAGGGTTAAGCGGATTGACTCTGGACAAAAGTCTTCTGCATCAGCAGGAAATTCTGATTCTGGATCTGTAGCTACTGGAGCTGGTACCCAATTATCGTCAGCATCAACTGCTTCTGGCCATCGCCCTTCAACTAGATCTAGGTCATCAGTAGCAATTGGAGGTCCAGCTAGAAATGATGCTGCTGAGGGAAGTTCGAATTCTTCTAAAGGGAAGGGTAAGGCAGTCTTGAAATCTACATCTGAGGAAGCCAGAGGACCTCAAACAAGAAAAGCTACTCGTAGAAGAGTTGCTTCAGATAAAGATGCAGAAATGAAACCTGCACTTAGTGACTCTGGATCTGAGGTTGGTTCACATCTTTGATTCCTTCTGTTTGGGATATACTTTCTTAGGCAGTAATTCTAGTCCTGATACAAAAATGCTAACCAGGAACCTTTTTTGTAATCTTTGTTAGTAAATAGTCGCCACAATTTAAGGCAACAACCTTTAACTGAACTGAAATTTGCCGAGTCAAATACAGGATAATCATGCAGAACTTTTTCACTAAAACTATCAGTTTGGAACAGTGTACTGTGAGAATTTTTAAAAGAAAGAAATAACCAGATCTTAGGATGGATCTGGAGTTCTTTGAAATTTGCGTATTTTATCATATTTGATTACATTTGCTACTTTATTATTCTATGACCATGTTAATATTGAATAGTTTCTTTTATATACACATGCAAATATTCATCTATTGCACAACTATCAAGGGTAAAGTAAGTTTTGCTGTTCCATTTATGTGGGTAGTAGAGAAGTCTAATTCGTATTTTCACCTCTATCAGATTTATCACATCTGATAGGTAAAGCTTTTTTTCTCCTCCAACTCTTTTTTGTTGGGACTGTATACACCAGTGATTTAAAAAGCGCTAGGCGCTCGCCCGAGCGAAGCGAGGCGCTAAATTATAAAAATATATAATATAATTATAACAATAATTTCAAATAAATAAAAATTAACAACATTAAAATCAAAATAATATATTATTAATCTATTAACAGAAAATTAATCATTTCAAAATTCAAATAAACTTAATATTAAGAGTATACTGAGCCTGATGGAGAAACGAGGAAGCGGCGAGCGGCGGCGGCAACAGCGGCGAGCGGCGGCAGCGGCAGCGGGAAAGGGAAAGGGAGCGGAAGGCGCGAGCAGCGGGAAGGCTCGCGGGAGGGCTCGCAGGAGGCGAGAGGGCTCGTGGGAGGCGCGAGCAACGGGAGGGCTCG